CACAAGGAAAGGGAGCCGCACTCTTGCTGCTGGAAGCATGGCTGAACCTGCACCAGCTCAGGGTCAGGAGACCAAAAGCCTCGTCCGGGCTCTGCCCTCGACTGACTTTGGCAACTTACCTAACCTTTCTGAGCTGCAGGTTTTAACTAGATAATCTCCAAGTCCCTTTCTTCTCAAACCACAAGTGATTAATTAAGAGGATGTCTTAGCTTGAGCTGCCATAACAAAATACCACCAACTGGTGGCTTATAAACAAAGACACTGATTTCTCACAGTTTTGGAGGCAGAAAGTCTGAGATCAGGGTGCCAGCATCATTGGTTCTGATGAGAGCCCTCTTCTGGGTTATAAATGGCTAACTTCTTATATCCTCACATGGCAGAGAGCAGAGCAGAGGAAGCAAGCTCTCTGGTAGCTCTAATAAGGGCACTAATCCCATTCATGAGGGCTCCACCATTATGACCTCCTCTCATCCTGATTCCCTCCCAAAGGCCCCACCTCCTAGCACCATCACGCTGCAGGGGTAAGGGTTCAACATATGTATTTTGGGGGGACACAAACATTCAGTCCATAATGGGTTAATTTAAAACAGTGTTTCTCAAGTTTTAATATACATATGAAGCACCCAGCAATCTTGTTACAATGTAGATTCTGATTCCACTGATCTAGGATGGGGCCCAAGAGTCTCCATTTTAAACCTGCTCCTAGGTGATGTCATCCTGCTGGTCTGAGGCTCAGGTCTTGAGCAGCAAGGACCACACTGGCCTGACTAATGGCCCATGACCTGTTCTAGGGATTAAGCAACTGAAATTTAAAGTAACACTTCTTTGAAGTGGAGCAGCTCTGTCTGGAGAACCCTAGCATCTGGTTTCCTAAGACTCTTCTCGGCTAAAGAATGCTGACGTTCCGTGACCTCTCCTGTGTGCCGGGCATGGTGCTCAGCGCTCTAAGTACATTCTGTCTCATAATCCTCACAGCTAACCAGTGAAGTCAGTGCCGTGATGGTCTCCATTTTACAGATGAGGACACTGAGCCTTAGAGAGGTTGAAGTGCTCCAGATTACATAACTGGTAGGGGGCAGAGTCCAACCCGGATTATCTGATTGCAGAGCCCTCATTTTACCGCTGAACCAAAGAGCAGAATGGCATTCTCAGAAGCCTTGGAAGTGAACGCCACTGCATCATGTGTATGTGGGAGGGGGAACTGTTGTCCATCAGTTCACAGTATCTCCTCCAAAGGAACAGGTCTCAGCTGGCAGATCTAGCTATTGCCTCAAATTTTCTTGATATCTCCGAAGGGGTTCTGAGACAGCAGCAGTATCAGCCAACAGGGTAGGAAGGCTGCTTCCATGAGCCTTGTCTCTCCCCAATGAGAGGCTTCCTTGTCTGTGAACAGCACTTAGATTGTGTCATGGGAAGGCCATGGGCCTTAACAGGCCACATCCATTTTCATTTACCTTCTGAAAGAAGATTAAGGAGAAAATTCAATTTTGCCTAATGCCTCCCCCAAATGGCTAATTTATATGCTAATTAGCAAGATAAGAATCGATGAAACTGGTAATCAATATGATATCCAAGGCACCAGTAATGAAATTCATTTTGAGATGCACTGCCAGTGGAAATGAAGCAATTACGCAGAATAAATGGGGCAGCTCGGGGAATAGGGGCTCCATATTGCACTTGACTGCATTATTTCCCCCAGTACTCCTCCCCTCACTCTTTCTCCACCCCCTCGAAATCAACTCTCCATTCAGATCCTCTGGGGCACTACACACCAGCTTCTCCCTCTCTGATGCCTGACCCCGCATCATCCCTGTGGATTTGTGGTCCACCGGGGGAAATGGAGGAGGGAAAATTACAGTCTGTGAAGACTAGAGGTGCAAGCCCTGGAGGAGAATCAGAGGCTTAAGTGGGAGCTTTTAAGCCAAATACAGAGTAGTTAATAGCACTTTACTCTCATACTTGCTGAGCTTGGTTTAAGGGCATAAGTACAGAACATAAGTATAGCTGTCATATTGCCGGATTTTCCAGAGCTGTCCTGGCTTTAAATGTCCCATCAGACCATGTATCAAATGATGTGTCCTGTTGAAGTCCAGTATGAAGTAGGCCATAGGGTCTGCATAAGATTTAGCCTGACTCTAGGAAGTCTTATTTCAACTTGCCCATTTGTTCTAGGGTTTCAGATAATTTTTTTTCTTTTCTCTGTGTTGGGGGGTTGGGGGGAATGCAGTCATCTCTGGAGATTAGGGGCACAGCATTACTCATTCCATACTTTTCAACTAAGACAATTAAAATTTGTCTTTTATGCCAATGTCTGCTCATGGGTATCACCTGGGGAGCTTCCCCCCACCCCAAAATTTGTTTATTTTTGAAAAAATTTTAGCATATGAAAAGTTGAAAAATTATACAGTGAATATGGTATATATGTATTTATCTAGCATCTACAATTAGCATTTTACTGTACTTGCTGTATCACAGATCTATCCAACCATCCATCCCTCTATCCATCCATGAGTCCGTCTTTTTTTTTATGCATCTCAAAGTAAGTTGCAGGCATCAAGATGCTTCACCCCTAAACACTTCAGCATGCATATCATTACCTAGAGCTTAATATTTGTTTCTTTTTCTTTTGGGGGTAAAATTATAAACAATGAAATGCACATATCTGAAGTACACTATTCTATAAGCTTTGACAGATACGTACACCATGTTTATGTATACCTATGACATTCATTGATGGACTACCAACCCCTATCAACATATAGAACATTACCATCATCCCAGAGGTTCCCTCGTGCCCCCTTCCCAGTTACCTCCCCCACCCTCCACTTCCAGAGGTAACCACCACTCTGACTCTGATTTTTCCCACCGTAGGTTAACTTTTCCTTTTCCTAGAACTCCATGTAAATGGAACTAAATGGTTTGCACGCTTGTGTAAGGTTTATTTCATGCAGCATAACATGTTTGAGATTCGTCCATATTGTCACCCATATGGATGGTTTGCTCCTTTCCGTTGCTGAGTAGTATCCCATTGTATGGATTGTATTTAGTTAGTATGAATAAAGCTGCTAGAGACATGTTTGTATAACACTTTTACAGGCAGATGTTTTCATTTTCCTTGAATAAATTCCTAGGGGTGAAATTTCTGAGTTAAAGGGGAGGTACATGTTTGGTTTATAAGAAACTGCCAGACCATTTTCCAAAGCAGTTGTGCCCAGGAAGCTTTTAAAAATCAGTGCCTCTTCCTTATCCCCAGAAACTCTTAATTAATTAATTGGTCTGGATCAGGGCTGAGGTGTAAGTATTTCTGACATAATCATCTGGTGGTTCTAATGTGCATCCAGAGGTAAGAATCACTGAAGATATATTGCAGTATATTAAATGCAAAAAGTTAATTCTTTTTTAACCTTGAAAGGTGGCTTTCTGTTGCTGTTTCCTTTTTTCCCTTTATTTTTACTGCTGGAAAGACTTGGGCATGGTCTAGGATGATCTGGACATCACAGTACAGGCTTCAGAGTAAAAAGATGAGCTTTCTGATCCCAGCTTTCCCACTTTGACCAAGTTACTTGTCAGTTTCCTCTTCTATAAAATGGGGCTTATCGTATGCATTCCAAGGTGATGAGGATAAAAGTGCCCGACTCAAAGAATTTTCTGAAATCCATAGGATCTGGGTGGGAATAGAGTTTCCAAATCCCTGGATGAGTGGGATTCCTTAACTCTGCCTTTCTGAACAAAGGCAGATTGACAGTTCCTTTCTTTGGTTCCATAATACGGCTCTGGGTGGTGAGGCTGTGAATGTCAGAGGTTGGAGAGCTGTCACCACCTCCCTGTAATGGTTGGAGTATAATTATCTCTTGTCTTACAAATATGTAAAAGCTACAAGTCAGTAGGGTAAGGATTCTGAGTTGGTTTCTGTCCTGATGGTAACTTGGGCTGTTCTAACTGTTCACCATGTAACCAACAACACACCTTTGCAAGACTGCTGGCTGGAGTCGGTATTAAGACAACAGTCAGGAGCTATCCAGCAGCTGATTACTGAGCACCTAGTCAACAACAACAAAACAAACCACTGAAACCTGATCCCTACTGTCTGAAGCCTGGCCCAGTTCCCCCACCCCAGGGGGCGGGCAGACCTGGGCACTGTCTTCCGAGTTCACCTTTTATGATACCAGTTCAGATCTGAGTGAACTGCCCCCTGAGCCTTACAGAAGGTTGGTCTGTGTGACACCTGGCTATGTTTTACATCAGATGCTCAGTACTTGTTGGAAAAACAACAGCAGCAACAACAAAGATCTCTTTAAGAGGTCCTGTGGGTGATGTGGCTTCTCTCATTGTTCAACTGTTTGAATGAGGATTTGCCAGTTGGCATCAGAAAGAATGCAGTTGTGAACAATGGGTTTTCCCACGTGGGACAGACTAGCGTGGACATAGATGAGGCTCTTAAATCAGGCTAGAAGTGCCAGGTTTGAGCTCCTTTCTGAACAAGAGGGTTGTGGAGGCTCCTGCTTCACATCCTCTGCAGATAACTACTGAGAAGGCGGCATTCCTAACTTCCCGGAGAAATAGGGTTTCCAGAGTATCAGAGGTTGCTCTGGGCTCCAGTTAGCAGTACAGAGACCTACGGTAAAGGATGGCTGCTCATGAGCCCCTTTTCAACTTTTTGGCCTCCCTGAGTATCTGTGGAACCCGCATGCTTTTGTTAGGGGGTACAGGGCACAGGGGGTGCAAGAAAGAGATCAGATGGCATGTGACCTGCTCTGAGCATGTGCCTGGCTTCGATAGTCCCCTTTCGGACTGGTTTTATTCTGTAATGTGTCCCCTGAGAAGACAGACTAAGCAGCCTGGGTTACCCTGCAATTTCTCCAAACTATTTGCATGAAATACTGCAGGCAAAAAGCCCAGCCGCTGATTGGCTGTTGCTAGGAAACAACATAATCATCAGGAAATTAGGCTGTCCTTTTTTTTTCCAACCCAGAGTATGTGTGCGATTGCAGCGTTGTGCAGGAAGAGAGAGGGAGTGGAACAAAGAGAGATAAATGGGATGGTGTTGAAGGCGGGGACACCACAGCCACAAACCTGCATCCCACGGTAGGACAATCTGCTTTGGGTTGGGCTCTTTACTCAGTCAAGCCAATATTGGTACATTTTCCTTTCTTGTAAGAATGACAAAGCTAGCAGGTCCTGCAGACAGCAGGAACAGAAGCTATGGATGCAACTTTGACATTTGAAGTGATTTTTAGAAGCAGGAGGTAGTGCTTAGTATATGAGGATGACTCCAAGTGAGGAATAAATGAGTGTGTCGGGAGAGCATATGTAGGCGGATGAGACTCCATTAGCGTGGCTGCAGAACGCCTGTGGGAACAGACGTGAGAATGTGCCTGTGAATGAGGTGTGTGACTAGGAAAAACAAGTGTGCTTTAAAATGTGGAAGGAAGCCCCGTAAACTGAAGTTTGGAACTGTGTCTATTATAACTCCGCTGATGTTCAGGCATGTGGTCCTGCTGTTACTCAGCCAGGCTGTCCTCAGCCCACCCTTCTGCCTGGCTAGACTGGTGAATGAAGAGTAATACGAAGAGAGCATTCGTGTGTGTGTGTGGCGAGTGTGTGTGTGTGTGCCAGTGCGTGCACATGTGCATGCACAAGTGCATTGAGTCACCTAGATCTTTTTCAAGGTGGCATCCTTCAATAGCAGCATGTTGAGCCCTGACAAGTGTACAGCTACACCTGGACACTTCCACGGGGACAGTGAATATCCATGGAGACTGTGAGCACTTTCCTTCCCCTTCCTGCTAGTCCCAGATGGCTTTCCCACCTTTCACCTCCCTTATCTTGTCCTCCTTTTGAGCACCCTAGCAATGACTCTGCCCTTACACTAGACCCTCAGTTGCCATACTGCGTACTACATCAGCTTGCTCCAACCTCAGGCAAGCTAATTGCCTTTTACCATTCATTGTCTGCCAGATTAATGACTCCTGTGTCTGGTTGCCCACAGCCTCCTCTGTGTCCTCTCTCTGGCTTGTCTTTCCCTTCTACCCGCTCCTCAGCTCAGTCTCTCTGAGCTCCAGATCTGAGTTTTTAGAGGTCATTTCATTTAAATGCTAAAATAGAAGCACTATCTTTTCTTTTTCTTTCATTTTTTTTTTTGCCTAATCAATGGAGGCAGTCCTGGGCACAATGCAGATGCAGAGGAAACCATTTTGCAACAGTGATAAAAACACACATATGTATATCAGGAACAAGACAGAATGTGTGCCAGTAACCACAACTCAGAAGGGAATATCCTTCCCAGCACACAGCCCCCCACAATGACCAGCTGCCTCCCATGGGTGAACCTAACAAAATTTAAAGCCCCTGCCCCAGAGGGAAAAAAGGCATCACCAACTTCCCGAGGCTCAAAGCACCTTTCTGAGTACTTGCACTAGACAGCACGAACCTGGTGCAGGGCAGGGCATGCACGCCCTGTGTACAGATGTGTCAGCAGTTCTCAGAGTGCAGTCCCTGGGCCAGCAGCTTCGGAGATCTGCACGTGGGTCCCGCGCTCTGGTTTGACAAACTCTCCAGGTGATTTCTCAGGTATGCTAAAGTTTGGGGGGCACTGTAGGCCTGAAAATTTGCATTTATAGTAAGTTCCCAGATGATACTGACCACTCTTTGAAAATCTCTGCTCTGGGAATAGAAAACGTGAGACAACGTGTAATGGGAATGATGTCTTTCCACCTACAATGCCCCTCCCCACTTCCAAAGCCCCAATCAAACCCACCTTTGAAGGCCCATCCCAAATGAAACTACTAGCTAAATTGACTATAGGTTATTACTTTACAACTTTTTATATTTCAGAGGTCAGGAAACTAGGGATGGTTGAGGGAGGGGGATCAAATAAGATTATGCAACAGAGACCATATGTGGTCCCCAAAGCCTGAACTGTTTACAATCTGGCCCTTTACAGAGTTTGCCAGTTCCTGCTCTATTTATTTATGTAGTTTTCTTACTTCTTCTTATAAACTGTTAACTCCAGAATCAGTATCTGAATGTTGTTGTATTCCATGCAGTACCAAGCACATAAAAATTGTTCAATAAACAAGGAAAAGATGAATGTTGGCTGGGTTGCATGGCTAACCAGTGTTCTGGACGTCTGAAAGAGATGATCAGCTTTTCTACTTAGCCACTCTGGGGCTGCCTTATCCATGAAATCAGAACAGTAATTTCTTATTTGAATAGATGATGAGAATCAAGAGGTCACACTAATAGAATTAGCTCTTTTCATTAGTAAGTAAGTAGAATGATGAAAACCAGGTAGAAGCTGTCCTACCACTTGAAAAACAAGATTAGCATTTACAATGTTCATAAACAGAAGTACTAAAAATAAGCAAAAAAGCTTAAATTTCCCTTTGATATCTGGTGTCCAGTAAAGGCTTTTCATGGAGTTACACAGTAGCAGAATTAAAACAGACCCTAGAGGCCACTCTGCATTGATCACATCTGCCACTGCTCACCCTCTGCTTGAATGCCTCCACCAACAGGAAACTCACTTCTTCACAAAGCAGGGCATTCCACTTTTTAACAATTCCAACTTTAGATTTCAACTCAAGAGAAAAAAAGTGTTTACTATCTCCTTGCAATTTTCACTCTAGTCCCTTTCTAGCTACCAAAATTCACTACCTAAGTTTTACAAATATGAGAAAAGAAGTAGGGTAAGCGTATACTTTTCTGGAAAGAGTGGCAAGTTGAGAGAATCTACCCCATTTAGATAGTTTTCTTCTGCAAACAGTAGCAAGATGGTTTAGAAATACAAGAAGCTAAATGCCAGCAGTTATGCCAAGAGAAGAAAAGCAAACATACGGGTATCAAATGGAGCAGAACAGAACATTCCAAATACAATAGGAAGCAAAAGACTGGTGGTCAGTAGGTCATAGGCTGACCACAGACAAGCAGTAGGTTTCTGCTAAAGAGAAATGCTCATAGCACTAGAAGCTATTATTTGGGACAAATGAGGGAAAGGAAGCCCCAGAGCTAGGCTGGGGTGGGGGCCTGGGGGGAGCGGAACTCTGGAGCTGCTTTGTGATTCCAAAGCTATGAAACAGCTACCATGACAAGTTGCCAAGGCACAAACAGCAAGAGAAAGCCTCTTAGGAATGGCCGAGTCCTTTACGTGGCGATCGGGGCCAAAGCAGAGAGGGCCAGGGGAGGGAACTATCCCGAAGAAGATGGGAGGAGGGGGTGGAGGAAGGAGGCTAAAATCTCAAGATGTACACCTGTTCACAATATAATGGAAGCTTAGTACTCAACCAGACACCTTGCAAACTGACAAATCAATCACTGCATGAAAAATAGCTCCAAGAACAACATTCATTGATCACTCACTCTCTGCATTTCTAAAGCACTCTTACTGCACAGAGCTTGGAGTTGTGTGGGGCACGTAGTCTAGAAACGGCAGAAGACACCAATAAGCTTCTAGCCTCTGGCTTTCCCCCTTTCTCCCCAGCACATACGTGCGTGAGTGCACACGCGTGCACACGCCCCTCACATACACACACCACACACTCCGTGGTTAAGTCTACCTGGTTATCACTGCCTCCAACTTCATCTGTAGATGAGGTAGGTTTCTTTTTTCTTTTTTTCCTTTTCTTAGGAAGGGAATTCCTAAGATATGAAAATGGGGCTTTTTGGGCTCTGGTGAAAAGCTTATAATCAAGCCTGGACTAAGAGTATGTTCAATAATTGTAAAGGAGTATAAGCCCAAAGTACTGAGAGACCGTTTCCTCAGCGTACTCCAGAATGATGCCAGAAGGAGTCAGCAGGCACAAGGAGGCTGATGATTATTCGATGCCCATTCTGCACTGCACATCAAGCTAGGTGTTTTGCTTGCATTTTATTATATACTTCTTCCCAATAACTCTTAAAAATCTATATCATTAGCACTGTTTACAGACAAGGAAACTGAGGCCCATGGACTTCAAGTAACCCGTCTAAGGTTTCCCAGCTAGAGCAGAGGCAGGAGTCAGACCAGCTTTCTCTGAATGTGGAACTTTCTTTTTCTTCTAAATCATGCTGCCTCTCTGAAACTGTGCCCAGCACATCGTGGGCTTTGGGGGAAGGTAGGTTTTTCCTTCACCCCTTCTCGCCAAGGACTGTGTGATTGTTTTCATTTTGTATTACTTTTCTATTAGATGTTGAAAATGATTTTGTAAACACCACTAACAGGACCAGATTTATATCTAAATAATATAATATATTTGAAAACAGGAACAGGAAAGGCCTACTGATGTTAGACATGCCCCAGTTAGTACTCCAGGTGTGACTTCTGGGAGAGGTACAGTTGACAGCTTTGCCATGGGCTGACCCTGGCTTGAGATAAGGCCTGTGGGACAGCCGGTCAGACAGAAGGCTATAGGAGCCAAGTTCAACTGGTAAGAACTCACTGGCCCAGACAGGCCTAGACTGGGTGAGCACAAGTCATTCTGCCTCAGGTGTGTGTACCTGTAGCCCTAGTTTCAGATCCTACACCTGCCATTTGCAAACTCCGTCTCCTCACGTAAATTATTGGACCTCTGTGAACCTCAGTGTTCTTGTGGGAAGAATAAAGACAGAACCCCTGTGTCATAGGTCATAGGTCTTTTTCCTCTCCATCTTCTTAAGCCAACTGGCACCAGCTTAAAGAAATACTTGATAGAGTCTGTCTTCTATAAATTATAAGGAAAACAATGAAGTTTCAGAAAAAGTTTCTGCATTTAAATTTATGGTATGGGGTTCTGACCTTTCCCAAGTAATTGTGGTTAATGTCATCAATAATAGACCTGTTGACATCACATGACCCTTGAGATGAGGTGCTGGGAAGGAGGCAGCGTCACTTCTGTGGTATTTTTGCTCCAAAGGTTAACCTCAATCTAATCAGGAGGAAAAAACAGCAAATAAACTCAAATTGAGAAACAGTCTACGGAGTAATTGACCAGTACTTATCCAAAATGTCAACAACATGAAAGACAGGACAGACTAAGCTGTCATGGACTGCAGGAGATGAGAGAACTAAATGCTACGTGATATCCTGCGCCAGATAAAGAACCAAATAAGGCCTGTAGTTTGGTTAATAA